GCAGGGAGCCCGATGCGGGGCTCGATCCCAGGACCCTGGGATCATGACCTGAGCCGAAGGCAGCCGCTTAACGACTGAGCCACCCAGGCGCCCCCCATGGTCTATTTTTAACTGTGGTTCTTTGAGGGGTGTGTGTGTGTGTGTGTGGGATAAGTGTTGGTGGTGATAATTAGTTCATTAAAGCAGGACTCCAAGATCCAAATGAAACACTCAGTAAGCCTTGCATCATTGTGGGTTTATTCTTTTTTAAACTTTTTCTTATGAAAGGACAAACATACAGAAAAATACATAAGACATAAATGTATAGATTAATGAATTGTTGAAAAACACCAGTGTCACCACTCACTGAATCAGAAAAATAGAATATTGCCCACACCCCAGAGATCTCTTCATGGCTCTCTTTCTTCCCTAAAGGAATTTACTATCTTGACTTTTATGGTATTCATTTCCTTGTTTTCCCTTATAGTTTACCTCCTAAGGAAATACCCCTAAACAAATTATCATATTTTACTTGCTTTTGATCTTTATGTGTGTAATCATATATTACTCTGTAATATTTGGCTTCTTTTTTCAGTATTATGTTTTTAAGATGTGTCTATGTTGCTGCATGTTGCTGTAGTTAATTTTCATTGCTGTATAATATCCCATTGTATAAAAACATCATGTGTTTTTTATCTGTTCTACCATTAATGGACACTGGGTAGTTTTCATTTTGGGGCTATTAGTGATTAATACTGCATTGAATTCTTGTACATGTACGCTGGTGCATATAAGCATGCATTTCTGTAGCATTTTTCTGGAAGACGAATTGCTAGTTCACACTGACATGACATTTTACCATGCGATTTTCCAAAGTATTGAAATGCTCCCATTAGCAGGAGAGGAGAATTCCCATTGTTCCATAACGTTGGCAATATTTGTTATTGTCAGAGTTTTTAATTTTTGTCAATCTGGATGGATTGACACTGGATGGATATATAGTGTTATCTTACTGTAGAGTTTTATTTTTGCATTTCCCCATGTTTGCAGGTTAATTTCAGCTAACCTGAAATCTGCTCTTTGAAACTTATGGGCATTTATGTATCTTTTAAAGAGCCTGAGATTAAAACGGCTACTTCAAAAATCAGAGTAACATGTCTTAAATATAGAATTAAAATATTAAGGTGTTCTGTGGCTACCCTTATGAAGCTAACTCTGAAACACAGTTTTGGTTTTATTCATGAAGCCTCAAGCTGTTTGGATCCTGTTTCCATCTGTATTTCAAAGCTCATATTAAGCTACTTTTTGAACATTCCTCAGTCAATGATCTTTGTCCAAACCCAGTAAAAATACAACCAAAGCATAGCTAATGACTGCATCAGAGAATCTGCCCATTTTACCTACTTTGGATAAAGCTGCAGAAGAATGAAGAAGACACCCTCAGCCCTCCTGTCCCTGACTCTGACTCTGATGTACCAGGACAGGGTGATGAGGATGAGAAAGTGAACCAGATGTCTGCTACCTCTCTCATCCCCAAGAGCTGACCCGGCTCAGCCCCAGGCCACCTGGTACTCAGACCTCGATCACTTCTCCCCGTGTCCTTCAGGGAATCCATCATTATTTTGTGGTTGTTTTTTTATTAGCAGAAAATTTTATGGGGAAAAATGAAGAAGAGGATTTACATCATGCAATGTACCTACTACAGATGTTCACAGCCAACTTTTTGGCTCTCTGAAATTCTTTCTCTCAGGGCTGCTACCATAACCCTTCTCTCCTTTCCTACGCACATCCCAGTCTTCCTTGATGTCCTGGGCAATTCATTTCTACCCTCTAACTTGCATTCTCTGCTCAGAAATCCAAAAGCCCTTCAATTCACATGACCCTACCCTTCAGAGAAGGCAATGCAGTTCTGTTAGCATCCTAACATGCTCTTGGGATCTTATCCCCTACCACATTACAGTTTATAAAATACCCCTCATAGCCACAGAGAGTGTGAAGACAAGGTCTGATAAATACATCTTTGCCATCTTTTTATGTCAACTTCCAAAGTTGATCCAAACCTTTGATCCAAACCCATTAGCCTCACCACCACCACCCACCCCTTGCCAGAAGAGTTAACACGAACTGACAGGAAGTGAGTGACTTCCAGTTGGCTTTGACCACCAGCAAATTGCCCAAAAGGCAACTAAGAACATGAGGAAGCAGAAGCATGAATGATCCAGATGACGAGGCTCTGAGCTCTTAACACTCTGGGCCTGGGGCAGAACATCCAAGGCCTGACTGCAAGTTCTCTTGTCACTTTGCCTTCCCCTAAGTCTCGGGTTCCCTACTCCGGAGCACTGCAGTGCTGGCAGGGAGGCTCTGCTGCCGGAGGATCAAGAGCAGTGGAGACAACGGACAGGTCTTCTGCTCTACGAGGTCTACGGACAGTCAGAAACAGTAGGTAGAAACAGTAGGTAGATGGTACTTTCTTGGTCAGTCAGGATGAGCTGAGCCACTGAGCCCAGCAGACGAGCTGAACCATGTATATGCAGAGGCCCCACTCTGCTCACACATTGCCTGAAGCCAATGGGAGGCTTCAGAGTTCTAGGCTAATTTGCCCCAGATCAGTTTGCACCAAGACAATTCACAGCTCATCAGTTTGTCAAGAGGCCAATGTCCTGAAAACTATTGGACAAAACTTTGAAAAGGGGTGTAAGGACATGGTGCTACCATCCCTGTGATCATTAGCTCTAGGGAGCCCAGGAGGGGTGGCGGGATGGGAGGTTCTCTCCAGTAACATGGAGCCCACCATCAGCAAGTCCTGCCTACTTCATTCCTTCCTAGGGTGGCAACCACAGGCAGCCAGGAGCTGGCCCCAGAAGTTCATTTCTGGATGCTCATGTGGACAGCACACAGGTTGGATTGTGGGACACTAGCTAGAGTGGGGGAGGGAACAGAGACTTTCTGTATATACCAACACACACACACAGACACACAGACACACAGACACACACACACACACTGTGACTCCCAAAGGTATCACTGACTAGCCAGGTGACAGGACATTCAGAGTATCAGGCATGTCTTAAACCAGAAAAACGTTATTAATGATAGTAGGGGCAGGGGCAGGTATCTTCCAACACAATTCTCAAGTCATTTCTGTTGCTGGGCCACTTTCCCCAGCCTCCTTGTTATCCCTGTAACTGACAGACAGATGACTACCATCTCAGGAGCTGGAGCAAAATGACTATTTTAGCCTCAATTCACATACTTGTCTGACTTTTTTGCAAAAAAATATGCTTTTAAATCATCAGTTAATTGGTCTGCTTCCAGGCCTAAGAAATATTAAGACTCTAGGTTAGTCCTTGTATGGTTCATAGTTGATATTTGGACAAGGAGGAGGGTGGGATGAGAACTACAATATACCCATGATCCAGGTTCCTTTGTATCAACTCTTTGCAACAACAGAATACTGCCTCATACCCAGGTGGTGCTGTATTTCACAAAGTATTTGCATAGCCACTGACTCATCTATGGAACATTTTCCACATGCCTGTACTGTGAGCAGCAACATAGCAAAGGAGAAAGAGCTTTCCCTCTCAGGAACTCAGACCCCGGTTCAAATCTCAGCTTGCCAATTACAGGCTTCAAGACCATTGGCATAGCACTGAACCTTCCAGAGTCTCTGCTTCTCTGTCTCCAAAATGGAAATACAACCCAGTCTCGCTGGGTTGTGATAAGGGAAACGAAAGGAAGTATATAAAGCTCTGGCTACAATGTCCAACGTCTTGTACATGCTCACCTTGCTGTTACTCTTGTTTTTAAGTAAGTGTTGCCCTAGATGCTAGGGTAGTAGAGATGAATGGGGCAATCTCTATTCTCAGGATGCTTGTTATTCACTGAGGGAAACAGACAAGCAAAAATAAGGATAATTGGGAGCTCCCGGTTGGCTCAGTGGGTTGAGCTTCCGACTCCTGGTTTCAGCTTAGGTGGTGATCTCATGGGTCGTGGGATTGAGCCCCTGCATAGGGCTCCATGCTCAGCGGGGAGTCTGCTTAAGACTCTCTCTCCCTCTGCCCCCCAAACCCCATTCAAGCACTCTTGCACTCTTTCTATCTCTCTAAAATAAATGGATAAATATTTTTAAAAAAAGAAGTATAATGCTCTGTTGGCTACAATGGAAGTGTGGGAAAAAATACTACAGAAGGAGAATGTCCCAACTGACTTTTCTTGGGGCCAGAATAATAGCTAGTTGTAACTGTTTATGGAACTAACTTGGTGTGCCAGGCACTGTGTGAAGAGTTTTCTACACACTCACAGGTACTATGAGAGCTAAGTGTTATAATTACCCCTTTACAGAGAAGATGAAGGGGTATTAATTGGCACATAGCTGGAGTCAAGATTCAAATCCTTGGGTGGCTCAGTCGGTTACGCATTTGCCTTTGGCTTGGGTAGTGGTCCCGGGGTCCTGGGATCGAGCCCCACATTGGGCTCCCTGCTCAGCTGAGGAGTCTGCTTCTCCCTCTCCCCCTGCCCCTCCCCCTCCACCCCTACTCTGTCTCGTTTTTCTCTCTCTCAAATAAACACACAAAATCTTAAAAAGAAAAAAAAAAGATTCAAATCCTGGTCTGGCTTAGCTTTAGAAAGATATTTTAGAGTACCATAAAGGAGGAATAAAGTTCATCAGGAGGATAAATGGGGGTGGGGCAGTTGCCTAGCAGAGGGGACAACACAATCTGAATATTCTCAGCACAGCTCTGAGTCGTTGAGACAGGGTTCCTATCACTGTTTAACAGCCTGAGTCAATGTTAAACGGTATCATGGCCTTCCTCTAGCAAACGGACACATGTCTGACATACAGTGCGTACTCCACACCTCACATTACATGCCCACAGCCCCGGGCTCACCCCTTTGCTTCTTTTTTGGCCCCTCGCAGTGGACCCGGTAGCCCCAGGAGCTAGCACAGGCCCAGTCTATGTCAGGTGTGGTGAATATCTGCTGACCAGAATTGGGTCAATGCCTTGCACCTAGAATCTGGGCCTTCTAGCTTCCCCATAAGGGTTCTTTGCATAGCATCGAATGACATGGATGAGTGAGGATGCTGTGTGTGGTTCTTAGTGCTTTGTAGTCAGCCTGGACTCTTTGACCAACCCCATTTTCTTTCTTTTATGAATAGGGAGTAAGTTGTGTCACTCTCCGTGGAATGAAGATCAATCGGGTTCCATCGGGAAAGGCATCCCCTCCTTTGACGTCCAGGTCTGGTCCTAAAGGCATTTGCTGGGTGCAGTTAGGGCTGCGCTGGGATTGAACAATTGTGGGACACCAGGTGACAGAACCAGCTGTGCCCACTCCACCCCACCCCCACCCCAGTTGTTGTCCTTCTTCCTCTCCTCCTGTTTTCCCGCCGATTTCCTGGGGAGGCTTCAGTTGAGAACTGCAGTATCCTGGGCATGAATGCTGCTCAGCCTGGCAGCCGGAAGCCTCATACACAACAGATGGGACCAGAGCACCTGGAGGGAGCCCTGGCAGCTCTCTCCATCAGCTGGTGCTTCTAGTTTTCCCTGATCTGTGTTTTCTAGCTTGAAGACACGTTTGCCACGTCTGCATATCCATGAGACCAGTAGACCCATAACTTGGGTTTCACCATTTCCTGACTTCAAAGTCTTCTGACAGCTGTAATCTACTTTTTGACAGGGCTCCTCCCCCCATTTATTCTCACCAGTGTCACACAAATAGTCAGGTACTGTGTGGGTGGGGCAGGCGTGTTGGGGTGGCCCTGCAGGGTGGGATTCACAGGCCTGTTGCTCCAGGTCATTGACGACAAGGGCAACAGCCTGCCGTTCAACACTGAAGGCAACATTGGCATCAGGATGAAGCCCACCAAGCCCATTGGCCTCTTCATGGGCTATGAAGTAAGTGGTGATCCTCACCTGCCCACTTCCAGGCCCCCAAAATCCCTTCAGGGAGCAGTGTGGGTGCTAAGGGGGTGGATATAACTCTGTACTACGAGCCTTCTTCACACCTCTCTTCAGTCACTCCAACTCAATGAAGCCTCTTCTAATTAATCTCTAAGCTCCTAGTGTGTTCTCACATCCTTTCCTGTCCAAAACCATCTGACACTTAAGTGCTGACAGGGTAGAAAGAAGCACCCCAGACTTGGGTTCCAATGATCTCT